AACTCCTATCAGGGCAAAAGGCAGTGCTGCAGTCAGGGACAAAAGCAGGTGGACTGCCTGCTGCCAAGATGCGCTTGCTAGCCAGGTTTGGAAATGTGCCCTTCTGGCAGAAGTCAAGTTTTGCCTTTCCAACCCACTTCTAAGCACATGCTCAATTCTGTGGCACCTCACTATTTCTAACAAAGGTCACATCTACAGAGGGCATGATGAATTGTTGATTTGATATGATGGTAGTTTCACGAATCTATGTATGGAAACTGGTAAGACCTACATAACAACAAAAAAAGTCAATTTTGTTTTAAGTTAATTTAAATAAAAAGGCAAATTAGGAAAGATGCCACATAGAGAACTCTTGAGAAACAGTCAGCACTATAATGAAGCTGAAAGCTCAATGGATGTGTTTAATAGCAGATTAGACAAAAATTGAAGAAACAATTATCCTTTACTGGACTACACACTGAAAGAAATAATCTAGAAAAATTACATGGAAAAGAAAAAAAAAAGATTATTTTTAATAAAAAAAAAATTTATAATGAAAATTTTTGAAGAAGACACATGGAACATATACAAATGAGAGGTACTGCCAATGAAACTGAAAATTCAATGAATGGGGTTTAGTCACAAAATGAAGAAAAATTACTGAAGTATAGATTTGAGGAATAAACACAAAGGCATAAAGAGGAAAACATAAGGGAGAAAAATAAGGAGATGCGGGACGGAATGTGGCTCAAGCGGTAGCGTGCTCGCCTGGCATACGTGTGGCCCGGGTTCGATCCTCAGCACCACATACAAACAAAGATGTTGTGTCCGCCGAAAACTAAAAAATAAATAAATATTAAAAAAAAAAAAAAAAGAAAAAGAAAGAGATGCAAGAGAAAAGAAGGATGAGCATCCATTCCAACTTCTAGAGTAAGAATCAAGAGAAAAATAAGAAGAGTTCTGCTTTCAATGTTAAATGCCACAAGGTCATTCTCAGCCTAAGAACAAAATCTGAAAAACTTATAGGATCAGATCCTTTTTTGAGCCATCATGAACTTGGAAGTCACAAGGCAACTAAATAAATTAAAACATTTCTTCCTCAATGAAGAGTCAGGACACATGAATAGTTCACCTTTGGTTAAGCATGGAGGAAAGAGCCATCATACAAATGAGTAATTAAGAAATCGCTAAAATTGAGAAATTCTTAAAGGGCAAATGTCGAATGGTATCAACCTGAAACAGATGAGAAACCCAAACACAAAGGAAGACTGGGATCATGGCAGGAATTCAGAGAGAATTCTGCTCAGTGGCACAGGAACAAAAAAAGTGATCAGCTGCTGATGGGGTACAGCAATGAAGCCTGAACTCTACTCTTGTCAGAGCAAAAACCTTAAGCCACTGAAAAAGACACAACAAAGCAATAGAAGAACATCCCTGCTAAGACAAAGATTCACTGCTTCTGAAGGAGGGAGAGTGGAAAACCCTCTGTTCCACAGGAGGTACAAGATACCCACTGGGCCCAGGATCCTACACGAACTCCAAGCAAAGGTCTGCTACCACTGGAGGAGGGAAAAGAAACTCCCTCCCACTCAAGACCAAACAGACAGACAAAGGGCAAGTCTAGCTGCACTGGAGAGGAAGAGCAGGAATGCTGACAACGCCCTACCACTGAGGCACAAGCTTCAGGGACCTATCCAATACTGAGGATGGACCATAGAAAGGTAGAACACCTCTTATTCCAACCACAAGCCTAGCACTAAGAAACAAACACCAACAATCCACTGCTGGGGAAAGATTGCCCTCCCAGGTGCTGATGTGTAGAGACGACTGATGGCTGGGAGCAGAACTGAAACACTGAGGAAAACCCTCCAGCTTCTAAGGCACTGTTCTAAGCATAGGTAACCGCAGCCCACTGCTGGAAGAATTAGAAGATATGGTGCCTGAAGGGAATGAAAGCAACAAGAATTCCAAATCCAGCTGGGTGTGGTGGCACATGCCCATAATCCTAGTGACTTGGAAGGCTAAGGCAAGAGGATTGAAAATTCGAAGCCAGTCTGGGAATTTAGCAATTTGTCTCAAAAGTACCCCTGGGTTCAATCCCAAGTACAGCCAAAAAAAAAAAAAAAAAGGAAGAAAAATTCCCAAATCAAGATCAACTACTGATAAAGGGCATGAAGAATACTATTTGCTTAAGTCTGTTTTTCCACAATGTTTGCCATTCAATCAAAAATCATGGGCTGGGGTGTGGCTTAGCGGTACAGTGCTTGCTAGCACATGCGAGGCCCTGGATTCAATCCTCAGCACTACATAAAAATAAATAAAAACAAAATAAAGATATTGTGCCAAACTAAAAAAAAAAAAAAGTGAGACACAAAAATTCAAGAAAAGATCCAACCCATTGTAAACTAATCAGCAAAACCAGACTCAAAGATGACTCAAAGGCTGGTATTGTTAGACAGGGACTTAAAAATAACTATGATTCATATGTTAAAGGATCTAGTGGAAAACGTACATATCATACACAAACAGATTTTTGGGGGGGGCGAAGGGGTACTTGAAATTGAACCCGGGATGCTTAACTACTAGGCCACATCCTCAGCCTTTTTTTTTAATTTTGAGACAGGTTCTTACTAAGTTGCTTGAGGCCGCATTAAATTGCTGAGGCTGGCTTTGAATTTGCTATCCACTGGCCTCAGCCTCAAGAGCTGCTGAGATTATAGGCGTATACCACCACACCCGGTACAAATGGAGAATTTCAACAAAGAGAAAGAAATAAAATTAAGAATCAAATGAAAACATAAGCAATAAAAAAATTGCAAGAGATGAAAAATTCCTTCAAGGGACTGACATACTGTACTTTATGGAGAAAAGAACCTTTTAACTTGTAGGTATGCTCGCGGAAGTTATCTAAACTGGGGCACCATGGCACATGTCTATAAACCCAGCTGCTCAGAAGGCTGAGGCTAGAGGATCATGAGTTGGAGCAGTGAACCTCAACACAGTGAACCTCATTTCAAAAAAAACAGATTACCCAAACTGAAACACAAAGAGAAAAAGAAATAGAACACAGCATCCAAACATTGTGAGACAATATATCAAATATTCTAGCATATATATAATTAAGAGTTGCAGAAGAATAAAGACCGCAAAACTAACATTTGAAGACACATAGTCCAGACTCTTTAAACAAAAACGTTCTAGACAACACAAACTGTGGAAAAGCAAAATTAAGGGAAAGATTTGAAGGCAATCTCTAAACACATAATGCAAATAAGGCAAGTGCTCTACCACTGAGCTACATTTGCAGCTCTTTTTATTTTTTATTTCAATCAGGGTCTCACTAAGTTGCCCATGCTGGCCTCACACTTATGATCTACCTGCCTTAACAAAATAGCTGAGATTACAGGCCAGGTGCTACCACACCTGGCTCATATTGTTGTTTTATACAAGCAATGCTTAGTGTTTGATGTGAAGGCAGATTGTGATAAGGGATAATCAGGGTAGAGGCAAGAGTTAATGAAATAATGACTAAGAATTTTCCAAAAAATTAAAGATATTGTTCTTTTGTCTGAGAACTACAAGTCTATAATGGAAAACTAAAAGTAAATTCAACTTTAAAAATACAGTATTTAAAAACAATTGAGTGATGGGCTGGAATTGTGGCTCAGTGGTAGAGTGGTTGCCTAGCATGTGTAAGGCACTGGACTTGATTCTCAGCACCACATATAAATAAACAAAATAAAGTCCATTGACAAATAAAAAAATTTTTTTTTCTAAATTGAGTGAAAGGAAGATCTGTAGAGAAAGGAGAATGAGGGAAGGAGTGGTGGGGGAACATTAACTAAAACTGAATTCCATGAATGCACAAATTTGTTAAAATGAACCCAACTACTATGTATAGCTACCATGCTCTAATTTAAAAAAATAAAAAAAAAGTAATTAACACCTGTAATCCCAACAACTGAAGAAACTGAGGCAGGATGATTACAAATTCAAGGCCAGCCTGAGACACTTAGCAAGACTCTGTCTCAAAATATAAAAAGGACTGAGGGTTCAGCTCATTGCCACAGCATCCCTAGGCTCAATCCCTAGTACCACAAAAAACAAACAAAAAAGAATACACTATTTGAAGGGAGGGGGCATGCGGGAAAAAAGATGGTGGAATGAGATGGATATTATTACTCTAAGTACATGTATGATGACACACAAAAAAATAAATAATTAAACTGCATAACAGGGTGACAAAGAAGAAACAAACTCCAAAAAGGAGAAGCAACTTATACAATATCATATACAAAGTCTGGACTAAAGTCCAGGTCTTCTGACCTGTGTTCAGCACTTTTTCTAAAATACCAGTCACACTCCACAAAGTGAGATCACAGTTTAGAAGAATTACCCAAAAGTCTGAAGTCAAATATTTATTAAGTAACCACAACATACCCATTACTACAGGGTGACAGATATTCTAGTATTCTTCCTTTTATAATTTGCACAAGACCAGATGCTACTTTTGAAGCATGGTCTGGAAAAAAGGTCATGTGAGCTCTACATGACACAACACATTCCTGGTTTTCCTTCTACCCGTCTGTCTAGGACCTCTTGGTTAGTTAAGGCCCATTCATTTTTCAGTTGTCAACTCAAGCTTCGGGAAATCATTCCACGTTTTCCCTGACAAGTCAAAGTCCTAATGTACTTCAACAGTCTATGCAGCTCTCTTTCTAGCATGCCACATAGCCATAATTTCACATTTATTTCTACAATTATTCAGTTAATATAGAACATCTTATGGTTGCAAATTCCATGAAGATCAAGGATTATGTCTATTTTTGTCCATATTTTAATTTTAATGCCCAGCATAGTGAACATACAATAAATAGAGATTCATAGAGGTAATAAGTGTTTGAGTATATGCCCTAGTAATGGTGTTATGCTTTTGGAGAAGATACATTTACTAAGAAAAGTATAAGTTTAAAACTGCAGAGTAAAAATAGCTCATAAAATAAGTCCGTAAAATAGCTTACCTAGATACAAATTCACTTAATTCTAAATATTCTGTGGGTTCCATTATTATGTTGAGCTCAGTAATGACAGAAGATAAATTCTCCTTAGTCTAAAATTTAAAAAAAAAAAGAAAATTTATACATCATTTATCCATTTTCTTATTAAAACACTTTTTAAGTTATGCAAAATGAAGTATCTTCAAATAATAGGAAAGCATAATGAAAAAACGATAATCAAAGTACTGGTTATTCATTGAAACAATAAGATCAGATCCCACTCCATACCAAAAACTAAAATGAACTCCAAATGAATTATTTCCTTAAATTCAACATTAAAATCACAAAATACTGGGAGGAAATGTGAACATTTAACAAATTACTGAGTCAGGAAAAACTTCCTAAGCAAACAATAGGGAGGGAAAAAAGCAAATAGGATTACATAAAAACCCAGTATCTAAGTAAAAATAAAATAAAAAAGAAGTATTAAACTGAGGAAAACATTCACAATAAATATGACGAAGAGACAAAACTGAAAAGAAAAAGGCATAGAACATGAACTAAAAGTTCAGCGGTGAAAAAAAAATTAACCTATAAAAAAGTGTTTTACCTCAACAGTAAGATAAATGTAAATTAAAAACAAACATTTTAACGAATCAGCAAAGACTAAAAAAATATTACTGCTGGTAAATATATACTCAAAGCTGGCAGTGGGAATATAAATTGGTATAACCCTTCTAGAAATCATTTTGACAATGAATAACCTGAAATATTCATTTTCTCTTAATTTGAATTCTAAGAGTCTATACTCTGGTAATAAGAAATGAAAACAGATTTATGAACAAAGATATTCCTAATAATGCTACAAAAAGCCAGAAACAATTCTATACCTGATGATGAAGACTGTTACACAAACTGTTATTTTGATATGCAAACTCAAGTAAATGTTTCCATTTTCTTATTAATTTCCTTTCTTTTCCTGGCATTATTTTGCCCTGATTTTATTTTAGGTTGCTTTGTCCAATAGGACAATGAAAGAACACCATATCATCTTGTACTTTGATGTCTGTGGCTCCTATTTGTTGTTAATGAAAGTCAATCTAGAAATTTCTGTTATTTCCTAAAACTAGAGTGCGTTTTAGGAAACTCTGACATGTCTCCTTAATATTCTGAGCTGTCAGAGAATGGATATTGATGATATCTAATCTTCATATAGTTTTTTCATCTGCTTGAGGGTATAGTGGGAATTGCTGGGAGCAGCTGTCTGTGACATCTACCATCATACCTAATCAAAACAAATTCCTGAGGCTTTCTCACCACTCATTTAAAAAAAAATTAAAAATTATTCAAAGGATCTGCAAAGACATTTTTCCAAAGATGATATACAAGTGGCCTATAAGCATTGAAAGATGCTCAACATCATTAGTGCCATTTGATGTAGTAATTTCACTCTTATATATAAAGCAAAAAAAACATGTTCACAAATACATGAGTGTTTATAACAATGTTATTCATAACCAAAAAAATGAAAATAACCATTTCTATCAACTGAAGGAATAGATAAAGTGTGGTATATCCACACAATGGAATATTATTCAACCCAAAAAGGGTACTCACATTTGCTACAACATGAATGAATCTTGAAAACATGCTAAATGAAAGAAGTCAGTAAATGACCATTTACATGAAATGCCCAAAATATAAAGAAATCCATAGAGAAAAAAACAGATTAGCAACTGCTTAGGGCTAAAAGAATCCAGGGATATTGAAAGATGGTAGTTAAAGCATACGGGGCTTCTTTTCAAACAGACGAAAATTTCCTAAAATTAATTGTAGGAGTGGTTGTACAACTCTGGTGTAATAAACACTACTGAATTGTACACTTTAAAGTTATATGATATGAAATTACATCTCAGTACAGCTGTTACCAAATAAATAAAAAAAAGAAAGCAAGGAAGACAAAAATCTCAGAGGCATGTCTTACTTCAAGTATGCAGGGTGCATGGTAGATTTTGGCCTTTTGCCCGTTAGGACAAGAAAGTCATCCTGTCAACACAAAGTCTGGGATTACTGGCCTTCTATTTATTTTCCTCCTTTGGTAGTTTGCAGACTCTGTTCAACCACTGGAAATCTAACTTCATTTTATTTTATTTATTTATTTATTTTTTGGTAATACTGGGGATTGAACCCAGTGCCTTGTGCATGCAAAGCAAACACTCTACCAACTGAGCTATATCCCCAGCCGAAAGCTAACTTCAAAATATTGTTTTTCCATCATTTTCCTGCCTGTGGTACTACTGCCAACCAGGTTTTCTCCCCAGTTGGTAAACAAGGGCCAGGACCTTATAAACATACTAACCTCAAACCTTCTACGTGAATCTCAGCAGCTTCTTTTTTCTACTGGGTTCTTTTCTACTATTTAAGTCCACATTTCTCATTCTTCTCCACGACTTAAGAATTGTGGGTGGAGATCTTAAAGAAAATGGTCTCACAAACTTTTGCAAAATACCGATGCCTCTCAAAAGCACTCTGTATTGAGATTTCAGTGTTTAGGTTCAAATATCATAACAAGAAACAGATTTTCTTTAGAGCCTATGATAATGAGAATATATTCTATTTGCTTAAAAACGTCCCTTTTTAAATCATTTTGTTCATTTTATTGGGTTTCAGGGAGACAAGTTATGCACACATACATAATTTGCTACTTTTTGTACAAACTCCTAAACATCTCACTTATTATGCTACATGGTCTGTGGGAGGCATGTTAATTTTCATGATCTTCCAACTCCTCATAAAAATTATAGCCCTATGGAAATGGAAGGAGACCCTCAGGGTTATACAAAATTACATACAAGAGGAAGTGAGGGGAAAGGGAAAAAAAATACAAGGGGGAGAAATGAATTACAGTAGAGGGGGTAGAGAGAGAAGAGGGGAGGGGAGGGGAGGGGGGATAGTAGAAGATAGGAAAGGCAGCAGAATACAACAGACACTAGTATGGCAATATGTAAATCAATGGATGTGTAACTGATGTGATTCTGCAATCTGTATACGGGGTAAAAATGGGAGTTCATAACCCACTTGAATCAAAGTGTGAAATATGATATATCAAGAACTATGTAATGTTTTGAACAACCAACAACAAAAATTAAAAAAAAAAAAATGCTTACCAGTATGGGATTCTGATCCCCCAAATAGTTTTTGTCCAGCAAATAATATAGACAGAAAGATTTAGTTGGTTGAAAACATGTGTTTATTCTTTTTAAAGCAAAGGAATATGTTATGTCAATACAAAACCATTAACATAGTTTAGAACCTATAGAAATCTCTCCTTATGAAAATAAGTTATGAAATATTACTGTTTGGGTCCTTTTCCAATGTGATTTTCTCCTGGTGTTCTGCCCTATATTAAGAAAGTTTCTAATAATTAAAAAAAAAAATTATAGCCCTGATAACACCAGACAGTAAATCTGAGGAACAGAGTTCTATATTCCAACTACCTTTGACAATAATAGCTTTGCCAACAGACAATCTATACTCTGCATAGATTTCCCTATAAAGTAAGGAGGTTGACCTAGAAAATCTATGAGGTTGCTTTTGGTTCTAACATATTCAATTTATACGATTTTAGGTTTTTATGGAAATTGTATATTAATAAGATTTCTATTCTGGAAAAATATTTATAATATTATGAAAAAAGAGTTATTATTTACTCTTTAATGTTCTGAGAGCTAAACATCTCCCTCTAGTGGAACGTTTGATTTTAAAAAATGAGAACACAAGGTTTATTTATTTATTTTGGTCAGTCTTAACAGTAAAAATGTGCTCAATAAATGGCAAAATCATTTTAGAAGGCAAATCAACACTATTATTAGAAATTACACGTACATTTTCTTTTATTTGTTGATAGACCTTTATTTTATTTATTTATTTATTTATTTATATGTGGTGCTAAGAATCGAGCCCAGAGCCTCATACATGCCAGGCAAGTGTGCTACTGCTGAGCCCTAGCCCCAGCCCCCTACACGTGCATTTTCTTTGAGCAATTCTATTAGAGATATATTTCTAAAAGGAATAGGAATAGGCCTAGCATACGGTAGCATTTACCATTAAATAGTAAAAACTTTAACAATTCTTGGTCAGGCATAGTGGTACACACCTATAATCCCAGCTTCTTGGGAGGCTGAGACAGAAGTATTGCAAGTTCAAGGACAGCCTACACAACTTAGTGAGACTCTGTCCCAAAAAAAGGATATAGCTTAGTAGGAGAGCACTGATGGGTTCAATTCCCAGTACCACCAAGCAACCAACCAACCAACAAAAAAAACTAACATCATCACCACATTAGCATTCTGAGCAACAAACAAAAAAGCCTTTTGTTCCTTTCCTTTCTAAACAAGGACTCTTGGTGACTCCTACACAACTGATTCCTAAAGCCCTGCTGATTCCACAGCTGTCTATAACTGCTTCCAACATCTTACCAGTCAAATCTTCAAGAAGAATCATAAAATTAAAAAGGTTCAGAGAGAAATGAGTGCTCTTAATACAACCAAGGAGAGTATGCTTTTTCTAGTAGTAAAAAAAAAAAATCAAGCAGTCCCAAAACCCCATACTTTAAAATGTGAACAAGAATTCATGTTTCTTTATAGATTCAGCAAATTCTTTCAAATAGTATCAACACTTCCTCTCAGATTTTTCCCCCCTGTATCCTTTAAAGAATATAGGTCAGAAACTGCTAGTTGTCCCCAAAATTTATTCTTCTTCCTTGTCCCAACTTTTCATTGTCTTAATGTAACAAAAGTAAGCAATTTAAATAAATTGAAATTAAACAGGGTGCAGTGGTGCACACCTGTAATCCCAACAGCTCAGGAAGCTTAAGACAGGAGTATTGCAACTTCAAGGCTAGCCTCAGCAACTTAGGGAGACCCTCAGCAATTTAACATAGCCCTGTCTCAAAAAATAAAAAGGGCTGGGGATTTAGCTCAATTGTAGAGTGTCCTTGGGTTCAATCCCCCGTACCAATAAAACCAAACAACAAACAAAAAATAATAATAAAAAATAAACAAAGTTAAGGGCTGGGGATGTGGCTCAAGCAGTAGCGCGCTCGCCTGGCATGCGTGCGGCTCGGGTTCGATCCTCAGCACCACATACAAAGATGTTGTGTCCGCCGAAAACTAAAAAATAAATATTAAAAATTCTCCCTCTCTCTCTCTCTCTCTTAAAAAAAAAAAAAAAAGTTAAAATATTACAATCTATGTCAACTCTCAGGCCACAGCCCTATTAATGAGAATGCCAACAAATCTTTGGCCACCACCTATCTGGGAATGTACAACCTCACAGAGCAGCTTGTTTACCTCAACTTTACAGAACAGTCTTTTTTTTTTTTTTTTTAATTTTTTATTGTTGGTTGTTCAAAACATTACTACAGAACAGTCTTGATCTTTTCAGTTGGATTTGTAGACACACCATCCTAGGACAAGACTAATTTTGCCCACAGTCTTACTTCTCTCCAGATAATCCAAGAAGCAACTGTGAAACAAATGAACACCTATATTAGAAAAAGCCTGCAAGACTCCCAAAGCTGCTAGAATGTCCCTGAGTTGTTCTCGTGGAAAAAAAAAAAAAATATATATATATATATATATATATATAAGAATATAGTAGTTATCAGAGAGGGAACTGGATATCAGGTTTATAACTCCACCAATCTGCTATAGGTTCTGGGTCTAGCCCATTCATGGATAACAGCATGCAGGAGAACAACTGGTGTATTGCCACTCTAAGGTCAGAATCTCATTAGCCACAAAAAAAAAAGAAGATGCAATTGAGCTGAGTATGGTAGTGCATGCCTATAAACCTAGCTACTTAGGAGGCTGAGGCAGAGGACTCCAAGTCCTAGGGCAGCCTGGGGAATTCAGTGATATCCTGTCTCAAAATTAAAAACAAAGCAAAAACCCTAAAAGTGGTAGGGATGTATTTCAGCAGTAGTTCTTTGCCTACCATGTGCAAAGTCCTAGGTTCAAGTCCCAGCACTGGGGGGGAAAAATGCAGTTGGTCAGACTATAAAATCATCAACAATGCAAAAACATTCAGGAATCCCCAGGTCACCCAAAGGAAAAGACTGGGGTCCTAACAAGTGGTACAACCCAATTGATGCCAATCATTTGGGTTCATGCTCCATTTCAGCCTTCAACAGATAATCTCTGTAGTCATGCAAAACACTGATATCACCTTGGTGACCCTGGAAAGCCCCAAGGCCTGGTGATAATTGGGAACACTGTAGGCCAATGAAGGCCACTCACCATCCATGCATGATATAAGAAAATGCTGAATTATGTGTCACATTCTGCCTAACAAGCCCTGGGAATGCCACATTGCATTTTCTTAGTCAGCTTGGCAGTAACTGCAGGGTGATAAGTAGGTGAGTGCAAATGGAAGCTCTGTCATCAAATGAGGAGCCTAGTTCCCCATCCTGTCTTCAGCCTGCCCAGGCCAATGATAGAAATTGGATACTCTGACTGCAAAGAGAAGCAAAACTTCCAAGCCCAGATTCCTGGACCCTGTCCTTTGACTTAGTAAGGAAATGGTTGTCTGACACCTAAGGAGGCAGGGTCCTAACTCCCTGACTGACTCCCATCATATAAAACAAACACACACACACACACAGTACAACTTGGGGCTCTTCGTGGCTGGGAACACTAACAACAAGAATGAGGAATCCTGGCATCTTACTGTGGGTACATAAAGGTCACTTGTCCCAAGGACTTGACTGTGACAATTACACTATACCCAGTGTATTGATCTGATGAGGTAGGTAGCCTGCCTGTCCTTCCTTGTTCTATTCTTCCTCTTTGTACACATTCCCTTGAGCCCAGCTAGTGAAAACAACTGATTGAAAATCTTTTCTACCACCAAAGCAGTGCTGAGCCTCAGACAGTTCTCAAAATCATGCTTGGATCCCGCTTTTCTTAGAGCCAGCCTTTGAAAGTGTCTAAGCCCGTTCTACCTGACCCTGTCCAGAAGACTATGCTACCGTTCTTTTTTCATTGTTTTCTAAATCTTAGCAAAACATATCTGCTTCCCTGTGTTGGCTTAGCAATCCAGCACAATTTGTGGATCATCCAACTAGGCTGCTCCCAAATTCCTGACTCAAAGAAGATGAAAAAAATAGGTTTTTTTTGTTTGTTTGTTTGTGTTTTTTTTTTTGCTGTTTCCATATGTTAGATATTGGAGAAATCTGTTACTCAGCAATAGGTAACTGATAATACATGGCTGGTGTATGACTACTCTTACAACCTCAGGGCTTATACAAGGAGCCCAGAAGCGTTTTGCTACCTACCCTATGATAAAGCACCTGTTGCCTTAGTAACAACTGTACAAATGTGACTCCTCATTGCAGTCATTGCTGGAGGCTGGGTTGTGTGAATTGCTTCTGTTATAAAGAAATATCTCTGTTATCACAATAGGCTCCTTAATTTACCTGAATTTCTAGAATTTGAAATTCAAGTTGAAATGTAACCATGTGGTAATTTCCTGATAATCTGTGTCTCTGTAGAACTTTCTTTATACCTGTAAATTAGAAAAACAAATATTTTATTTGACAAAAACAATTTTCATCACATACCTATCACATATATGTGATTATCTATGATACATATGAGTAGATGTATGAAAGTATATGTTGATAATTGCATTAAAAAATCTGAACAATGTGCACCAAACTGATTATCCTTACAAAATAGGATTAATGACAATTTATACACTGTAGTTCTCAATTATACCAAAGGTTAAGTAAAAGACAGAAACATAGTGGTATAGCCCTAGATAAGTTTCAATCATATTTTTCTTTTTTTTTTTTTAACATTACCTAGTTCCTGTCTAAATGGATTCAGCTTAACATGACTGCAGCTTCAGCCTCCTGAGTAGCTGGGAATATAGGTGTGCGCCACTGCACATGGCAAGGCCACAGCTTTCTTAAAACCTTGCCTAGGGACTGGGGTTGTGGCTCAGTGGTAGAGTGCTTCCCTAAAAAAAAATTATTTTTTTTTTAAAAAAACAACAACTTGTGGGCTGGGGATGTGGCTCAAGCGGTAGCGCGCTCGCCTGGCATGCGTGCGGCCCAGGTTCCATCCTCAGCACCACTTACAAAGATGTTGTGCCTGCCGAAAACTAAAAAAATAAATATTAAAATTCTCTCTCTCAAAAAACAAAACAAAACAAAAAAAACTCATGCTTAAGAATTTATGTCAAGACTTTATACTGGTGAAAGTTTTACATGTGACCTGTCCTCATCCTCCATTTTTTTTTTTTTTTTGGTGGGGGAGGTACTGGAGAGAATTCAGGGGCACTCGAACACTGAGCCACATTCCCAGCCCTATTCTGTATTTTATTTAGAGATAGGATCTCACTGCGTTGCTTAGCACCTCACTTTTGCTGAGGCTGGCTTTGAACTCAGGAGCCTCCTGCCTCAGCCTCCCGAGTAGCTGTGATTACAGGCATGCATCATTACACAAGACTGTCCTCATCCTCTATACTTCCTGTATTCCATCTCTTCAAGTAATTCAGTATCTAAATTACATCACTCCATTTCTATATGTAGTTCAGAAACTCCCTGCAGTGAGCTGCCCAAGATTCTCTTCCCTGTCCTAAAAGTTGTTTCAGTGGAAAAGTCAGGAAGCACTTTCAAAAATGATTTCTGCTTTGGGATGTTATTCTTGTCCAACTAAAGTTCTTGACATCCAGTTGCAAGGCTGAATTAGCTTCCTCTTAGCTGTTAGTACACTATAGATCTTCAGCAATAAAACTCTGTCATTAGGAACAGATATCTTCTTTCTGGCAAAAGGTTCAGGTGCTGAACATTTATTTGGCCATAGGCAATGACAGCAGCAAACCATTACAGATCAGGCAGGTTTCACATCAGTAATGAATTATTATGTTCATATATTAATAGTGCTGTTCTAACAATCCCTAATCACATATCACTATTACTTAACTATTAAGGTTATTTAATGATAAAGACTGTATTCCATTATTTAATATTTACCTTAGACAACTTTTAAATAGTATTGGGCACAATGGAATATTCAAAAGACTATAAACAGGTTTATCATAACTAGATTTTCAAATAGTGAATCTTCAGAATTTTTCAACATTATGATAACCAATCATAATATGGTAAGCTTCAAAACCACTTCTAGACTAAAAATAATGCTCACCTTTTTCTGTCATCTCAGTCGTTGTTAGGTCCTCTGTCTGCTTGGCATAATTTCTTATATTGAAGCCAGTTAGTGTACTTAGAAATGAAAGTTCTGATTTTAAATGTCCAAGCTGACTTTTTAGATCTTTTGAAGATTCACATTTCTTAGTATCTGATTGGTATGTTTCTTGAAATGATTTTCTAAAAAGTAAATATCAGAAAGTTATTACAACTACTAACAATTGGTTCATTTAATACCCCAATTTTCTTTAAACCATTCCCATTTTGTTTCTCTTAATCACTTCCCATTAAAACTAAAGCATTATCAAAACTAATATGGCCATTAATACTGTAATCTCTAGTTTCAACAAAAAACAAAAATAACCAAATTATACTAGGATATTTGTACATAGTAGAAACACCTTAAAATAAACTAAAACAGAAGTACTTTGCAAAATTGAAAGGTCAGTTCTCATCTGGGAATTTCCAACCTAAAAAACTAATACCCAAGACATCTCATAAAAACAAAATTAAATAGCTAATTTTTTTTAAAAAAAGCAAATATCACAAAACATTTTATACTAAGAGATATCTCAGGAAATCTAAGAATACAGAGGGGAGTAAAGACTCCAAAGAAGAAATGTCATCATCTCTTCAAATAAAACTATAACCAGACATTCTGAGAACATGTAACTTTAATTTTCCTTGAAAAAAAGAATGAGTTAATAATTGCATTAGATTATACTTTTTTTCCCCCTAAACACTCAGCTATATTCTACACTATAGACTTCTGCCATTCCAAAACATCTCTTTTTTGGATTCTGGGGCATGATTATCCTGACTTTCATTTATATCTTGGATCTTCTGCTATCTCTGCTTTTTGTTACCAACATTAAAGGAAAACCCTAATACTCTTACCCCTAGTTTCTTAAATATTATATATTCTTCTCATTCCAGAGAAACACTCAATGATTAACTTCAGCTCCCCTATGCCAGCAACTCCTAAAACACACCTTTGCCATAGATCTTTTCTTCCTGCAATGTAGACCTACTTACTTATTCCACATTTTCCCCCCTTGAATAAGCTTTTCTTCCAAATTCCCCCTGATGCATAAGGCTCCATATTTTAGCAGTTTATGTTTCATTGGCCTTATCTCTGGATATAGTGTCATCCTTTCTGCTCCCTCTCCAACCTCTTCTTCCTTTACTATTTCTAATTCCACTACATTAATCAATGCTTTTATGGCCTTCTACAGTGTCTATAGGAAACAATCTAACTCTATTCACACTGAGGATCAAAGACTTGCATAAGGTCTATAAAAAAGTTTAATATTGTTTTACTGCTAATTTTAAATATCAATAAGTACATTTTGTAACATCTGAAAGATCACCACATATTCTTCCACATTTTCCATCAGGATTGATGACAAAAAAAATTTCTTTGAATATAAAAAACCAATAAAAAAAACAGAGGCAATCTTCAAACATAAATGATGAGTTTCTGCTAAGTGAACACCAACTGTCACAGAACATTCAAGAGAGCAAAGCAATCACATTAAAGGATAGACAGAATTCAAAAAAGAACTTGCAGTTGGCAATGGGAAAGAGGGATAACAGTTAATTATTTAATGGGTATAGAGTTACAGACTGGAATGATGAAAAAGTTCTGAAGATTGATAGTGGTAATGTTGCACAACAATATGAACATGTTTAATGCTACTGACCAATATGCTTAAAATGATTAAAATAGTAAATTGTATGACATATGTGTATTTGTATATATATATTTCTTATCATATACACAAAAGAGGAGCTGTATATTCTCATTGACAGAAACTAGTTATATAAGCAAAGTGGTTTATTTCAACTAATAATATTAGTTTGAATTATGTTCTTTTTTTGGAGGGTAGCAGGGATTGAACTCAGGACACTCAACCACTAAGCCATATCCCCATCCCTATTTTGTATTTTATTTAGAGACAGGGTCTCAGTTGCTTAGCACCTCACTTTTGCTGAGGCTGGCTCTGAACTCAGGATCCTCCTGCCTCAGCCTCCCTAGCCACTGGAATTACATCCATGTGCCACCACTCCCAGCTGAATTATTTTTAGCTTGAATTTTATTGGTTCTGTAGTTTTATTATTTGCAAATTTCTTATTAGCATAAAATGCTTTTGTCAACACTAGAGGTTCACAAGAAACCCCCTTTTAAAACAAATCTATACTTGATTTGAGCTTAAAAGTCAATGATCTACTAATTAGTGTTAGTTATTATTAGGAGTTGAGTACTGTTCTAAATAAATATGTTAATTCAGTCCTCACAACAAGGTGAAAACTTGGGTACCATTTTAACAAGGAAGGGGTTCCAATCAAGATCATGCAGCCATTAACAGCCAGAATTTGAAGGCAGGCAATTTGGCTCCAGGATGTGGATATATGGATATAAATGAATAATTTATTTATTTTATTTGTTCTTTTTAGTTATACATGACAATAGAATGTATTTTGGCAAATTTATACATAGAGTGTTAACATTCTATTTAGGATCCCACTCTTGTGGTTGTACATGTTTTACCCTGGTCATGTATTTAAAAACAAGGCTAGGAAAGTTATGTCCAATTAATTCTACTGTCTTTCCTATTCCCTTTCCCCTCCCATTCCTTCATTTCCCTTTTTTTTTTGTTTGTTTGTTTTTGTTTGAGAGAGAGAGAGAGAGAGAGATTTTTAATATTTATTTTTTTAGATTTTGGTGGACAGAACATCTTTATTTTATTTGTATGTAATGCTGAGGATCGAACCCAGCGCCTCGCGCATGCCAGGCGAGCGCACTACCACTTGAGCCACATCCCCAGCCCCTCATTTCCCTATTTTCTAATCCAATGGATATCTATTATTCCCCACCCCAATTTCCCTTGTTTTGGGTTAGCATCCACAAATCAGTGAGAACATTTGGCCTTTGGTTTTGGGGGATTGGCTTATTTTTACTTAGTATAATATTCTCCAGTTCCATCCATTTACCAGCAAATGCCATTATTTCATTCTTCTTTATGTTTGAGTAATATTCCATTGTGTATATTATACCATATTTTCTTTATCCATTCATCTGCTTTAGGACAGACAGGTTATTTCCATAGCTTGGCTTTTGTGAGTTGAGCTGCTATAAACATTGATGTGGCTGCATCACTGCAGTATGCTATAACTGAATAATTTAGCTCCAACTTTTCTACCACCAACCCATCCAACCATTTAAAATCACTTAAAAAGTAGCTTTCACACAGGTCCCAATCTTCCATCTCCACCATAGTGAGAAAAAAATTTCCCATTAAACCTAAATACCTTGGACTGACATTTAATGTCTTCTAGAGTCTGGAACTCTTGTGACTTTTCCAGTGTGATCAATGAGGAGTCCCACATAACAAATAATCTACTATGGTATTCTGGACTAATAATGACATCTTGTGGTCAGTGGAGAAATCATCCTCCCCATAATATGATACAGTGTTTCTCAAACTTAGAGTTTGCTTATTGGGGAGGTAAGAGGAGGATGTCTCATTAAAATGTAGGTTACGATTTAGTAGGTAGTTCTCAAACTCCCAAGTGATACTAATGCTTCCAATCTATGGTTTACACCTGGAGTAGTAAGGACATTTCATTTACTCTTGTGAGAAGCATATACATACCCTGTTCACCTGTTTCCTTCATTTTTGTTTGTTTTTTTGGTACCAGGGATTAGGGGCACTCGACCATTGAGTCACATCCCTAGCCCTATTTTGTAGAGACAGGGACTCACTAAATTGCTTAGCACCTCACTTTTGCTGAGGCTGGCTTTGAACTCGCAATCCTCCTGCCTCAGCCTCCCAAGCCGCTGAGATTACAGGCTTGGGCCACTGCACCCGGCTTCTTTTTCCCTTTTACCAGTAACAGCTTTCTCTACTTTTATGACTGCATAGAACATCATGCAAACTTCCCCCAGCTCTAAGAATGGAACTGAGGACCTCACTGCATGCTAAGCAAGCATTCTACCATTAAGCTACATCCCCAACCCAAACATTTTCTTTAGACCCCCTCATCCTCCTTCACATTTTCTAGAACTTTTGTCCATTTAGATCAGGGGGAGGAGGGAAACCCCTCTCTCTGCACCTATACCAAATTAGTCTTGTTTTTAAAAACGAAGATAGTTTGATTTCAAGTAATGAGATGATACATAACTGATAATTGTTAGAGATCTTTTCTCTTCTTCAATCAAGAAGACTCCTAGTATTTTAGGGTCCAATTCAGTTCTAACACCTCCTTTGTCTAAGACCTTTGGCAAGCTAGTTCTGATTCTCAGGTTCTCTAACTTTAAAACTGAGTTAAGGATAGCATCTACGTCAGAGGGCTGTCAGATTCTCCCTACAGTCGATATCAGCTACTTTTCCTTGTATCAGCTTTTCACCTAAACCGTGTTTCAAAGAAAATTTTTATGTCATTTTCATAATAATTTAAAAAAAGGTATCCCCGTGGCTAGGTGACATATACAAACAAATGTCCCGAAAACAAAGTGAGTAAATCCCACTTTGAAACTGCTGCCTGCCGAAGGCAAGATTTTCTAGTTAAAAGAAATAAACAGGACTTGGGACCTTGCAAGAAACGACTTTCTCACCACTATCAGTGGATGGCTGAAAGGCGCGTATCACAGAGAGAACCCCGTAAGCGGTACTCCAGACGCTAGGCCACCGTCATTACAAAATCGGCGACGGTTCCAGTCTACGTTTGGGAATGTCCCAAGCTACAACCCGCAGGTCAGGGCCTCGGGGAACCGCGGCCCGGAGAGCTCTGTGCGGTCCTCTGCCTCGCCTTGAGGCAGTGCCCGGGAGTCCCAGGGAGAGGACAGGAGCCACGTACCGGTCTCTGGCCGTCCCTTCCCAGGGCGCCGGCAGCTCGCTGCACGCTTGCTGCAGCGCCGCAATCTCCGCCTCCAAGGCGCGCACCTCAGCGCGCTGGGCGTCCATGGTGCATCGAACTGCCAAGCCGGGTCCCGGCCGCCTCGCCCCGAGCTTCAAGCGGCGCGCGCTACCGGCACGCACCACTGCGGAGCTCGCGGGGTAGGGGAGGCGGCAGAGTGACGCGTAACCGCGCGGGCCGGAGAGTCCACCCCCGCGCTCAGACGAGACTCCAGGTCTTGAGGACCCTCCCCACCACCCCACGGCTGTCTTTAAACAGTCCCGACCTCTTGCGAGTTGGTTCCTTCCAATCCGCCAAGCGTCCGGCTGCCCACCCCCGCCAGCAGCCTTGGAACTACCCGGACGTCTAGGTTACTGGAGAGGCGGTTCCGGGACCTGGTGAAAGGGGGCGCTCGTGCATTTTCTTCCGCTCCCTCACTCCGGCCTGCTCAGTGCGGGAGTCACTGATCAAGTCGGCTCTTTAGAAATTAGGGGATTTTGCAACGGGTTGTTTTTTTGTTTTTGTTTTTTGCGGAAGTTGAGGGGAGGGTGGTGGATGCATCACCGCCGCCTGAACGACGGGAAACAAAATAAAGAGTGCTCCGGAACTAAGTGCGGAAACGGAACCTTAGGAGACGAAGTTGGAAATCGAGTAGGAAGGAAGAGGAATTGCACTTGGTGGGCCATGTGATTAGAAGTGGGCAGACGCGCGGCGCTGGCTCTAGGGGACGGCGTGGTGAGCTCTGGGCTTGGGCTTGGGAAGTGATAGGGCTCCTGGATCTGAGCTCTACTTTCTCTTTTTTTGGTCTTCCGGGAGGAAGAAGGCTGGGGTGGGGAGGTTGGGGTAGAGGCTGCTAGGAAGAGTTTCAGTTGGAGCTATCACCCAGACTCGGTGTCATGCCTTGGGCTTCAGGAGCTCTTCTGTGATCTCCCATGAGGAGGAGTATGTCAGCTCTTGAAGAAGAGCAGGATGAGAGCTTAGCGCCCGAAGAGAGCTAAAGGAGATGAGGGCTCTGATGATGGATGTCAAACCTCAAGCACCTCTAGAAAAGTTTTCCTGAATCCCCTGTAATCCAACAACTTTCGTTAGTATAGTGTTAACAATTCCGGGATCGGAAATTAGACCTGCATTATAATTCTGGCTTCATCACTGATTTTCTTCATAGCATTGGGAAAGTGGATTCTGCTCGTGTGAGAAATGGAATACATGCAAACTGCTATGGACCATATAGACACATAGTAAAAAAAGCAAGTCTTCGTGCCTGAATAGCACTTTGCAGCACTTTTATTGTGCATAATATTGTAATTGCAGTATTGGTTTACTTCTCTTGTGGGTGTGGAGCTTCAGGATGGAGATGTGACTTTCTCCCTTAGCATATGAACTGCCGCATCCTACATTTGTCAGCCTTGGTTAAAGTGACAAAAAGAATGTATGAAGGAAGGAAGAAAGAACACCGAAAAATAAGTAAATAAGTAAATGAAAAGAGACAGTATATAATAGTTGTGGTCATTTAAAAGGAATATTATGTGTGTTCCTGTGATTGTGTAAGTGTGCAGGTGCTGTTCCAAAGTGCATTCAAGAAGAATTGGTATGTAGTCCTTAAGCAGAATCTCCAGGGAGATACAATAGGAAGTGAAGCATGCCTCCAGAAGACCAATTTGTCATGTAGGCTCAGGGGAGAAGGAGTTATGTTTGAGGAGAACTATGGGAAAGAACTCCTCCATATACAGAAAATTACTTTTCCCACTAGAACATACGAAGTGTATGCCCAACCTTCATGAAAGCCAACAAAGAAACCAAGCGCCTTTTTGTGGGTGGCCTTGGCCAGGCCATTTCTGAGACAGATCTACAAATTCAGTTCAGCAGATTTGGAGAAGTTTCTGATGTGGAGATCATCACACGGAAAGATGACCAAGGTAAATTTATAATCCTTCACTGGATGGTTACAGGCAGACATGGGTTAAATATTACAAGATTAAGCAACCCCAGCAGTAAATATTAGCTCTGAACACTGAAAATGATATGTGATGCCCTGCAGGTATTATATGTGATATGAAACTTGTTCACAATTGCTGAAATCAGAAAAATTCTAAAACATGATATCAGAAAGGTCTTAACATCCAGTTTTGAGAATTAATATTCTAAATCTGTTAAATGTTCTGTTATGTAGAGTATCACTAACATATGATCCAGATGTTTCCTTATCTGGTCACTTAATTTTCTTTTCCTTATTCATTTTGTTTTGGAATATTTTGATGATGATGCTTCGGAAAGTTCAATCTTTGTATCCGATGAAAAACAACATTTGTCTTTGAAATAATAAGTTTCTAAAAACTGATCTTTTAAACTTAGAAAGTTAATTTTTACATTATTCTCTGGATAATATTTAAAATAAACTTATTTTTATTTTCTTAGGAAACCCACAGAAAATCTTTGCATATATTAACATCAAAGTAGCAGAAGAAGATCTGAAAAAATGTAAGATTGTCATTATTTTTTATATTGTCTGCTAGTTGGCATCACTGTGTAATTTGAAGTAACTTTGGTTCTAAATCTAAACCTCAACAGACACTTCTAAGTCATACAAAAGAACAACTATGATTAAGAGGATTCTGGTATTCTACATTTCTGCTGATTTAGGTCAATTCCATTTATGTCAGCAGACCTATAGTAGCACAATGCTAGTGAGTTTGCTCAAAAACTGGTATTCTCAAATAATTTTGACAGGGGCCAAAATTTCATAGAAACTGCCTGCTAGAAATCTCTCTCTGTCACACTTCTCTATTCAATTCTTGGGTAGCTAATCTTTGTCATTAAATATTCTGAGGAGGGGGCATTAGAATATACAATTGTAAGATACTATGGTATCTCTTGATATGATTTAGTAAACTGAATACTGAGGGTGAATACTGACTGTCAAAGAGGAAGGAGAGGGCAAGAATCCATAATGCTGCTGATACAGTAATGTATTCTAGTTACTTAGGGGTCAGAAAGTCAAAGATACTGAAAAGTGAGTAAAAGGAACATATGATAGAGGAAGAAGGCTATCAGTCTTATAGTTTTATTTGCCAAAATATTATTATTCAGGGAGGAAGTTGTGTGACAGATAGGAAAACTTGTGTTTAAGAACACATTAGCTCTGCTAATGTGATCTGTGGCAGATTATTTGAACTTCTAAGCCCCAGTTTGCTTTTCTAGTGAATGAAAAAGATAATGCCTTATAATATTCCTGTGATGGTTAAATTAAATTTATGCTTAGTATGGTGCCTAACATATAAAATTCTGTTAATGGTTGTTATAAAGCTGGTAGCAGATGTTTAGAAAAACTGGCTACTGGGGCATAACAGTACTAACAGTTCAGACACTTGCAGTTATTTGTGGGTTACACATTGATAATTGATATGAGGTAATAAGTAAAAGGTGCTCCCAGGATTCTCAGATGTCCTCTTTTCACCCTGACAACTTACCACTTTCATAGTTAGAAAATAACAAGGAAATAGTAAATGTCTGTTGAGAGCCACAGCCGAAGGGGCCCCAGCAAACTTCCAGCTGCCAGCAATCCAGCTGCCGGCTGATGATTGGCTCACAGCGGCCCCAGCAACATCTAGCTGTCTTAGTAAGTTGGTCAATTCATACACATCCACCAAAGGAGCTTTAAGTTTGGGGTGCTCCCAGTAATTCATATTTCCTATCAAAAGAGCAACTTTGTCCTTTGCCAAAGGCTGGTCAGTTGTTTGCTCTTTATTATCAGGATGCCCAAAATCATTTAGTTCATCTTCAGTGCACTCCACTGCCTCATCTGTTCTTCCTATGATGACATCTACCTTCTTGCTATCCTGACTGTCTCGATCATTATAAACATGACACCAGTAGGTTCCTTGATGTTCTAAATCCACATAGGGCACCATGTATAGCTTTTTTGTCTCATGTGGTAATGGTGATTCATTTTTGAACCACTGGTAGTGAGGAATAGGGCTTCCAATAGCAACACACTGTAAAACCAATGTGCTGCCTAGCATTAGCTTTTGGGACTTTGGTTCAACACAAATTTGCAACCTGGATTCAGACAAGCTATCCGGACTTCTCCGGAAGCTTTCTGTTACTTCTGTCACATCACAAACATCCAGCTGTGACCACTGGCTGAATTCAAAGGTAAGATTATTATTAACACGACAGACATAAAAGCCTGCATCTTTTACATGCACAGTGTTAAAAATAAGTTCTGATGCATTTCCATATGGAATCTGGGGGGCTGAGAAGCTGAAGAACTTCAGTGTGTTCCATAGCCTGTAGGAAGTCGCTCAATTCTGCTACCGTGCAACCTTTTTCACCCATTAGTTTTAGTAAACACAGGCTTGGGCTTCCTTCAGGCTCCAACACCTTAAGAGAACACTGCTCCAGGTCCAGACAACTGAGCCGGAGGCGCCCCCGACTGCCGGCCAGTTCGGCCAGCCGCCTCCAGCCCCGGCCCTCGGGCGCGCGGTCCAAGGTCTCGCCGAGCCTCCGCAGCAGCGGCTCCCCAAGGCGGAGGAGGGTCGCGCCGGCCAGGGAGGCTAGCGACTGCCCCGAGGGCGCGCCCGGAGGCGGCTGCAGGGCCGGGGACGGCGAGGCCTGCAGCGGCTCCCCCCTCAGCGACATGGCCCGCGCGGGCCGCGGCTCCGGCGCCCTTCCGCTAGCCCCTCGGCTCGCCTCCGAGTCCTGAGACAGCGGCGGAAGGAGAATTCGGGCTGTGGCTCTCAACAAATGTCGGTTATTCACTAGAGGTTCCTGACATTAGTTTATAAACAAATTTTGCTTTACAGTTTACATGCTTCCTTATTCTAGTCTCTTGGTAACGATGAGATAGGAAGTAAAAGGAAATTTCTGGTAAGTGGTCAGGATAGATGGAAGCCTAGGCTTCCTGTCTCTAGGTCACATTTCCTTTTTGTGTGTGTGTTTGTGTGTGTGTGTATGTGTGTGTGTATGTGTTTCTTTTAACAAGTCTACTTTTCTTGGTACTAAATTACTAAAAAGAAAGCATATACTGAATTATATTTTTGCACTGCTATGTACTCGGGTAGTAATTCTT